TTGCATTGCATGCATTGCAATGAATGAAACTACTTCATATTATTCTAGATTGAATAATGTTTATTTTATCATGTGTATATACATTTAATTGTATTGATTCGAAAAATAAATCATCTGATTATTAAATGCAAAAGAAGATTTAATTTAACAGTAAGCAAAACAACGCCAATTTCTGTATTGCATACATTCTATTTACGTATTTGTATTTAATTGAAATAATAATAATAAAGTGTTCATGAAATGTGATCGGTAAATGATCCAAAAAGCTGAACCCTAGTATATTTGTCGATTATATATAATATACAAAGCTAATGAATACTGAAGAAGTATAATAAAGAACTGATAATGTTTTTTATGTCTGTTTAAGCTTTTAGTGGCCCGTAGTTTGATTTTGTCCTCATTTAGATCGACGATATTCGTTGAAGGGCTCACCACTTTAGTGGCCCGTGGATCTGACTCCTATTTAGATCGTACTAATGTTTGTTATCGCCTATTCTCGTATATAATCGTCGACTTAAATCGCGTTATTCAATAACGGAATTAAATAAGACGAATAATGAGAATTGACTTGAGAATACATATATTTTGTATATGAAGCGAATGAAACAGATCAAAGCAAAATGACACGCAGGGAAGATGACTGGGAAGCCAACTCCATTTTAGTCAAGCGTTACTCAATATTTATAGTCAGACAAAATAAAGCTACAGCATGTGATTAATGGGATAAGAAAGGCACACATATATACGTTCATATAAAAACAGTCAAGATTGATAAGCGAATAATTGACAAGGTCGAAATATGACTCAAGTAGGATGAATAGATTCGGCTGTCCAAAAGTTAGAATAAGATACATGGGCTTAAAATAATGACTGACACTACAAGCTATTATGAATATTATTGATTCATTATGGAAAGGGTTTATACCTATTCATTCTTGCTACTAAGGTCTACAATTTATCAGTCTCTTTTAGTGTATACGAATCCTGAGAGGATTTCCACAATACTAACGATAGTCACAAGTTTTTAGTAAAGTAAAATGATTAACTGTGAAATCGAGGACACTTTTTTTTCTTATTTGAGACTTTTGAGTATTGGTACTCAGTATTTGAGTGTGAATATCAACAGTGAGATGGACGCATAGCCAATTGATGAATTCTGTATAGGACGAACGCGAATTTTGGATTTCACTGCTAGTCACATAACAAATATAATAAGACAGTCATCACAAAATCCACGGTCCAAGTTTACCAGTAACAAACATTATTGACTCATGTTGTTTCTCGAAAAATTGTTATTTTTTTCTCTAATTGGGAATGAGATAAACATTTTTGAAGTATCATTAGATAGTATACAACAGTAAACAAGTTTTATCTGAATATATTCCAATATAACATGACTGTGGCTACTTATATTCTAATGATTAATATGCAAAACTCTACAATTCATAAACATTGGACGAGTATACCACTGATTATTTACTTTTTATAAATAAAACTAATATCTTTCAACGGTTGAGATCATGAGTCAATTGAAGCTAGACCACTATGGAAAACCTGGAAGTACTGGACGGCCGTTTCGTCCTATTGTAAGACTCCTGAGCAATGCACATCCACGACCCTGCCTCGCGGGATTTGAAACCATGACCTATCAGTCTCGCGCCTGGCTCTTAACCAACTAGACCACCGAGCCAGCATCCAACGGTATTCTCTTTACTTTAATTGTGAATCAAATGAAGAATCTTTCAAATTTCTATATGACTATTCAAAATTAATTCACTGAAATAAACTTCTTCAATGGTCAACTTTTTTGCCAAAAGACTACATTGTCATTTGCATCATTGATTGATGATTCAATTCAATTATACAAATGACTTGAGCTTATTAGTATCCATAACTTATTATAGTAAAAAAGAAATAGCGGTTTTATTTCATTACTCATATTTTTGATTACAGTATAATGACATAAATGGTTGACCTTCTTTTTTGTCATAAAAGTACATCATAGATAATATGTCATAAATAGTGACAAATAATTATAGAAAATAATTTTTAGTTCATATTCACATTTGTCGATATTTTAACTAATTTCTTTTCTACAACATCTTTCATCTTCTTTTTTACTCAGTTCTTTATCTTCTCTTCTTCTTCGTTCATTTTGAAGAAGAAGAAGAAATCTATGTCAAAACTGTTTTCGATCTTTTAAATAAAATTTCTGTTTATTTTTGTAAAAAAACAACAACAACAATGAACAACATCAAAAATAATATCATAACAGTTTACATACATAATCAATGGTAAATGGCCTCATAAATTTCGATTGTAAGAACATGGGCGTATCGTTGTATATATATATATATATATATATATATATATATATATATATATATATATATATATATATATATATATATATATATATCACATTAAAACAACTGATTTCGATAAAACTCTGAAAAATAGCTAAGGTCACCGGACAGATAAATTATTTCGGAAGTTGTTTTCTCAATTCAAGTATGATAGATTACATAAAAGATAGAGACACTGAATAATAGAATGAATCTATACGAAGGAATTAAAGTTATCACTTTTTAGTTGCAAAAATACTTACTTTAACTAGTGCAAATATAAGTTCCACATCAAAGTGGAAAATGATTGATTGATTTTATTGAGGTGTATTTGAAAATCAACGAATACTGTTGTTCTCATGAAGTTTCGACTTATCATACTGACACCTCAGTTAACTAAGTTAATTTTAGCCGTTGCAAATTATTCAAAATATCATGTCTTGTATGAGATGTAACTGGTAAAGTTTGTCCAATAGGTTATATATGTTTTGAATCCCTATTCAATTGTAGTCACTTGTGTTATGAAGTGACAACTGACTTGATAAAATTATGAAATAACTGAGGTAGCCATTGTTACGATTTACCCAAGATACCGATCCCTAAATCCCAATCGAATGAAATTTAAAAAATATAGAACGACTGACTGAAAGTATGAATAAACATTACTATGGAATCAAAAGTATAATTTATATTGATATATATTCAGCCACCATAAACTATATCAACAATTCGGAATTGGTTCTTCATACTGTAGTGAACAGAACACGGGTGGAGACAATCGAATGTATTTAACACAGAATTACAGGACTTGTCGATAAAATCTAACAATCATAAAGTAAATGCCTAATTTGCAAAATGTCCACCAATTGTCTCAAAATGACTCAGACTATATTGTTCTTGCATTTTCATACAAATTGTATCTGTTTCTACTCTTTACTGTTCGATCATCTTGCCTCTCTGCTCCCAGACATTCTGCTAACGACTAACATCATCTACTACTTATGTCAACATAAATAGCACACACCACTAGTGTTTAGTAATACAGTTGCTTACATTTTGATAATATTTGACAAAAGGCAGAAAAATATTCAACAAAATCAGTTTTATTTAATTCAATAATCGTTTGCAAAACGATCATGTATATCAGTGTTATGAGTAACACGATGAAAATCTGATATCGATGTCCATGGCATTAAATATAAAAGACACATTCACTGTAATGGGTTAAAATGGTTATTACGGCTGAGTGTTACAACGAAAATACTATATGGTAAGTGATTGTAACTTCCTATAATTACAGTTGATTTCAGACAATGAAATACAGACTTCGAAATTTAAAATTTACAAGAATAGCTCATTTTTTTATACAACAAAGAAAACAAGACATCTTATTTATTCTCGGATATGTCATGAGACATTACCACATAAATATTCAGAATAATACTAGTAATATATGTGATAAAACAAGATGAACAAATCGAACATTGTAGTGTTGAAAACTGTCATTAATTAAATAAAATGTCAGTATTCACATGTAAAAAGGTTTGTTAGGCAAAACATTTTGCATAGAGCCGAGGGTATACGGATAAAAACGCTAACCGACCAACGGACTACGAGAAGAATAAAGTAAAACGAACAACTCAGAATAATGACAAACTAATGTTTAAATATTGTAGCGACCATACTAAAACGAGAAAAATAAGCTGAAGATATTATTGAATATAAAAAATGACAAATGGGAGAACAAAAGTAATACACAAAACATGCGGAATACTCAATTAGAAATTATGGCGTTTTTTGGATACACGCTAGCATCACAGCAAGCAATCAACAATCAACACAATCACTAATCGAGAGATATTTGATTCGACCTGCTCCCAACGTTTTCAGTACTATGTATGTATTACGAAATGTTCACTCCATATCAATAAGAATTCAACAACAAAACATACATGATACTGAAAGTCAATATTGCAATAGAGAACAATTCAACAACTATCTCACCATTCCCATTCACTCTGAAACATATTCATCCTGCTACTTAATGTCTCCAACTAGACATACACTCATAACAATCACGATCCCAGATAAACTCATTACCGTCTCGAACCTATCAAGATCATTCTAACAATTGATCTACTCATATGGTTCAACAATATCTGTTTCAAGGCTATGATGTCTCGCCTCTAACCAATTCATATTATCTGGATAACTTTAGAAGTCGAGAGTTCGCACCATTAAATTAGACTATCATTATTCGTTTTGTCCAGTACGTATTTTCAAAGGTGTCACACATACACATACACATACACAGAGAGAGAGAGAGAGAATTGGTGTTTTTTTCTGATACCCGTAAACAGTGAACTCTCAGTCAGTCAGCACGCTAGAACTCTAAACAATCATCCAACTGTTATCTACATTGTAAATCGTATCGACTGAAAATAGTTGTTGGCATTCCATATGACCTTACGTAGAATGATCAATTCTCATTGGTTGCCAAATGCCTTCGAATTTTCTATTGATTAATTGTTTGTTGCATGGTAAACAATTACGAGTCATGTGACTGTGTGTGTGTGTGTGCACGTCAGTGAGTGAGTGAGTGAGTGAGTGATCATGGCACCAGCCACACAAAATTAACAGTTCCATCACCAGAAGTGATAATGATAATAATAATAATAATAATAATAATAATAATAATAATAATAATAATAATAATAATAATAATAATAATAATAATAATAATAATAATAATAATAATAATAATAATAATAAGGACACAGATATTTTAGCAGTGGACACTTATGCTAACTTCTCACATTCCCTCACTGAGAGTGTGACATTATTTAAAATGAAGAATAATTTGACAAGGTGAAATTTGTGAGCAAATAACAAATATATGGAGTCAACTGACTTATCTATTGGTAGTGACAACCTGAAATTTCATTCCACCAATACAGACTAAAATCATTATTATTACTTCTACTATTACTGTTACTATTATTACTATTATTATTGGTATTATTATTACTATTGCCGTTATTATTATTATTATTATTATGTATCAAAAGGGGTTTCGTGGAGATTGTAGTAATTTAAACAGTCGAGATCATGAGTCAATCGAAGCTAGATCACCGCGAGGCGAGGTCGTGGATGCACAATGCTGAGGAGTTCCACGATAGGACGAAACGGCCGTCCACTGCTTCCAGTTTTCCATAGTGGTCTAGCTTCAACTGACTCATGATCTCAGCTGTTTAAATTATTATTAATATTATTATTGTCATTGTTGTTGTTATTATTATTATTATTATTTATTATTATTTATTGTTATTATTATTATTATTCGTCTTCGTCTTCGTCTTCTTCTCCTGTTCGGTCATGATGATCGAAATCCTAAGACGATATCTCGTCACTAAATCACAACTCCACTACAAGCATAAACTAAGTGATTGTTTCAAATTGGACAAAACTAATTTTGATAATACAATACAAATTATGATTCCTAAACACACTATTCGCAATGATTAAGTCGATGAGTCGACGATCATGACAGTGAGTGAGTGAGTAAATGGACGTCATTTCGACATCTACAACAGCTGCATCCCAATAGAAACTGATAAGAAAACTCTGATTGAAGAATAATGGTGAAGATTCGTCTGAAGTGTTCGTTTGTGAACAATAATCGTCACTTCGACAACAATGTTATCATCATGTCTGACATGATGTTGACCAACTGGAATGAGAAACAAACAAGCACGTGTTGGAACATCGAAATGACTACATTGATGCATATTACTGATTGACTGATTGATTAGTCCATTCGTTGACTCAGTGATTTGAACACATGGAGTTTGGTATAAAGGGAACTAAATACATATGCGACACACAGTGACAATGAGGCCAGTAGCAGTTTTCATTGATTTGTGCGGTGGGTGGGATACTGTCCGCGTGCCCAAAACGAAGCAAGTGGTTTCCTCAGGTGAGCACACACCGAGTGCTTGACCTGAGTGTCTAACCCACAAGGCAGTGGAGCAACGATACGAGGTGCAGTCTCATGGCAGACGGTGAAAAACAATCGGTACATACTGCATTTCTTCCCTCAGCATCATGAAGACTATGAGCACCACTGGTTTGGAGTCAGGGTATATATATATATGTGTGTGTGTTTGGAAATAACCATTTATCATGAACATTCATGTACTTTGCTCCCATCCGTTCAGATCGAAGTGAGAATCCGTGATCTCTGGTGTGTGTGTGAGTGTGTGCGTGTGTGTCTGTTGATCGCCAAATGAACAACTAAGATTGGTCAGTATGATGTGATGATAAACTATGCACAACTATCAACCGAAAATGATGTGGTTAAAACGAGTTGAGTGAAGATGTAAATGGAAAGATGATTGGGGAAGAAAGTATGTTAAGAAACATCGTCAATGTGAATACAACTGATATCGTCCACACAATATTACAATTATTATTATTATTACGATTGCTATTATTATCACTATTATTATCATTATTTGGTTCGTTGAGTTTCATATGATTTCACAAAATTCGAGGTAATTCTCATCACAAGTTCAAGTCAGATGTGTGATCGATGGAATTCTATCTCATTATTGATTGCAAATATTGAGGTCACCAGTTGACGTGGACAACACAATGAGAAATAATATCAAACTGATGCCAGGTGCCAACCAGTTGTCCAACATTATCTTCCTCATTCACAACACTGCTTAAACTAATGTTTGAAAATAGATAGTATGATGGTAAAAATCATTTTCAATTGGAAACTCTTCTTGTAGTAGATTGCAGTGTCTTCTTACATCCAATGATTGAATGAAGGTGTGACTTGTGCAAACGTTATGTGAATATCAAATGAGAATGGTTACAACACCAACAAATCATCATATGATCATCTATGTTAGAAGATAGATAGATTTCGACATTTGAATGAACTCGTCTACTCTCATTCTATCTAGTTAGTATTTGTGGTATGAATATATGTAATTACACATATTATTTAATCATTAATTGATTAAATGTTTCAATATATCAACACGAAATGTGTCAAAATATAACTTAACACCTAGTTAATTTTTTTTATAAAATCAACCTCGTCTCATTTGTCTGTTCTGCTAATCATAATAAAAACCAGTTATTATCACTTTAACTTTGTAATAACTTATGCATCTCTATTAGTCTTTCTTGTGCCGTTGAACATAATATGGCAATAATTCTTTTAGTTATTTCGGACTAATATACAAGAATATCAAATCTGTATCGAAATTGTGATACATTTTTGGATAAGTTTATCACTATTATTGATAGTAATATTTTCAATTTCATTCTAACGTTGATGATTGGCTCTGCTTTCTTTTAAAATCCGATACCGTTTTAGACACTTCTTATGGAGGAGTTTCTTCTCTGAACTGGGTGGTTTAGTCGTGGAGCTCACGTCGTCCTTCTGAACGACATCATCAGCACAAACTTCATGTAGACGTGAAATGTTCGAATCTTCTCCACTTTTTTTAGAAGATCGTTAAGCTTACATTTATGTTTTCAGATTTTATTTGCTTAGCACGGGCAATGACGTTTGGCCAGGTCGATCATATTTTGTTTTCTAAGTTTATATTTTATGTTTTCACACAACTTTCAATGATCAATTCATTTTTCACCAGTAATATACTATCACTACAACGAAAAACTGTCTTTTACCGGCTGAATTGTTTTGTTATTGTAGTTACGAACTGATTATACTATCAGTATTGTGGCAAGCAGTTGTTTCTCATTGTCCACAAATAATCGTTGCTCCAACCCAGGGAGAACTTACCGATAATATGCTACAGAAAAATACTGAAAACTGTTGAAAATTCATAAAGAAAAGCGGAATGTCTATAGCACTCAGCATTCGGTATGCCATATTAAACGTTTTGGTGGTCGAAAACTATATGGAAGATATAAACCCATCAAGTCATATCTCTAACAGGCCACCGATAAGGAACTACTCAGAATAGTACCAACTAATTAAGCGAACACGTCAGCCACGACAAATACTCACTGATGAGTCGTCAAAAGAATGAAAAGTGTTAATCACAAGCATAACCGGCATTATCAAAATCAAGTGAATTAACTTACAAAGCCTGAAAACACAAGCACTACAGATCACGTTTCAATCTAACAAGGATCAAAGAGCCAAATAAAAGCATCTCAAAGGATGTTTTAAATTTGGTTGTTTCTATTGTCGTTCTAGAAAACCCCATACACATTTAATTCACAAAGAATTGAACCAACTCATTAATCTACACGTTCTAAGTCGGCCTATTTTAATGAAATTTTCGGAGGTTTTGTCAGCTTTTCTAGCCTGTATATTTCTGTTGAGTAATTTACTCTGTTAGCCATCAGCCACGTGACTGGCTGACCTCGTGTAGGCTGGTAAATAGGGTCCAGTTAATGTGCCTATTGATTGAAGACTGACCTGAATATCAAGTCATCAGAAATTCTCTAGCATTCTTTGAGTTTCCTCAATTCCAAATTCCGTAGATTTTTTCAATTAACTTCGTGTCTTCGGTTGTTGGCATGCATTGACATGGGTGATAGTATGCATATAGTAGATAAATCAGAAATTCACTTAGTCATATTATTTTTGTCGCAGTTGGCATAAGTGATTTTGTGGGTGACACTGAATCTGTTCTCTTTCTCCATTGTGTCCTTTGAAGTGCATAAAATGGGATAGTGCCTCTTTTGGTCTGTGGAAGACGTTGATTCTGAAGGATTTAAGGATTTTTCAATGTTTTGCGAAATGATGCTCACATATTTTAGAACAACTTGTTGTCTGGTAACTGGCGATAATTTTTTATTAGTACGTTGACCTTCTAAATACCTTATGATAAAATTCCGACAACAACCATTTTTACTCAAAAAGAGTATCTCCAACTTTCCATATGATGCGATTGCTTCCCAATAACGGAAAGCTTTGAATTAATAACCGATTCAAATGAAAATCAATCGAAAGGAATGATGTTAATTAAGGATTATCAACTATCTATGATCCAAAAGTAATCAAAGCTCTGAAGACATAAGAAAATCATGACTATTATCAGTGTTGAATCTATATAAAGTTTCTAAATCTTCCTAAGAATTTTCAGACTACTACTACTACTACTACTAATACCACCGTAGCTGCTACCTTGACGTGGTGGTCGGGCTTGCCTATCGTGATGACCCAACCGAGCTATATTGGCTAGAACATATGTTTCTGTAGGTTCTACCATGCCAGGCAGGTCGATTGGAGAACGGTAAGACTAAAAGCAGCAACTCAAGGTCTGAGGGCGAAGTCGTACTGCTGACTGTAGAGAGGTGTGACGGCAGTGAGGTGTTTCCTTTGGACAACCAGAATCTGCAACGTTGCTGCCTTCTCACAAGGAAGGTTGAGGTTAGAAAAGGTTGACCCTAAAAATGTCACACCTCACCTTGCCCCATGGATTTCCGTCTCCGGCGGTGAGGCCCTTTGAAGAACGAAGTTAACACATTAAAAACCTCCCACAAAAAGGCCGTGCGTGACCGGCCTCAAGGAGTTGTCCCTTGTGCTCTGTGGTCATGCTCCCAAGTCGTTAAGGCCAACATTAATCCAACTTCCTTTTCAGGTTCCTCAAGATATACCTTTCCACGGTGTGGGCAGCCGGAAAGTGATATCAGCCTTCATACCCGTAATAGCGCACGAGATCAAGTTGGTCACACTCAAATCCTTCCTACACCTCCTAATACTACTACTACTACTACTACTAATGTTTTTTAAAAATTTATTTCCTCTCGATTACTAAAAAAATATATGAATTGATTTTATCATCATCAATAATGGAAAATGATTACCATGCCATT